ATTCAGAGCTCAAGCAAAATACTGTTCTCCATTTACTCACAATTTTCCTTCTGTTTTCTGACTGTTTAGATACGGATTTTACAGAAAGCAAAGGCTGAAGTACTGAAAATTTAGAGTTACTACAGTCTGGCTCAGGTCACCGGGCAAACGTAGCATTAGTGTCATTGATTACTGATAACTATTTGGATAAAGGGAAGTCATGCAGTTCTTCTGCTGGACGGTGGTTCAACACAGCTGACCATAATAAGATCCTGATGTCTGTGTTGAGAAAAGATAGCCAGCTGAAAGGGCTCCATGGTGATATAAAATCATAATGAGGATCACCCATAGAAGAAGAGGATTTAATAATTTAATACACCTTTTCAGTTGTATTACACAAATATCTATCTGTCTAACGATCTAGTAGAACAACGTGGATTCAATGCCAACTGATGTAAAAATTGACCCTTATCTTTACAGCCATTTCCTGCCTGCCTGTACCATTGCCCATTCTATATCCGAGCTGTTCACTAGTAGCAGTTGTGACTGCAGTTAGTCAAAGCATTAATCTAAATGAGGCCATAGTGATGGTGGCAGAAAAACACTTTCAGAGGTTTGACCATTTCATCAGATCCACAGTCAGTCAATGTCCTGCAAAGGTGAACTGTTCTGGGTTCTCTGTTAGGTGGATCCATGAAGATCTTGTGTGGATCATCTACAAACAACACTCCATTATGGTCAGTTTCATTTGGACATATACTGTTTGGCATACAACCCTTTGTCACCACCTTGTGTTACAAGTGCTGTAAACCTCAGGAACCCATCAGCAGTTAAAGAATGTTACCGAACCCTTATGCCAGGGAGACAGGCTGAAATTCTGTGAATTTCTTCTGTAGTTTCCATAGAGACCTGAAGTAAAAGATTTGTTCTTTGTTAGTTTCACTAGAGTCAAGACAGTGTAAAGGTATTCGTATGTCAGGCTTCAGGTTGCATGTATCCCAGCTCTGCCCTCTTAATTGCCCATAAAAATTTATCTGTGCACTGGCATAGATAAAACTCTTTGAGGAAAACTCTTGTTTTCCCTCAGATGCTCATATATCAGGTAAAACTCTCCATCATAGCTCTTCACACCTTCAATACTTAAATAACATTGAAAAATACTTTCAAGTCAGCAGATGCTTCCAACTGGAAACTATCATTATCTCTCTGAGCTAATTCCTAAAATCAAATATGACAAAGTGATTGAATTGCCAGCGAAGTTCCTTTTACATCACCCCTTTTCTAATTATTTGTCCTCCACAGTTCTAGGGTGCCTTTAAGTGAATGAAATTGTAAATAGGCCTTCAAGCCTCTTTATTCAAATCTTGTGTTTTCTGTTCCTCAAGGTAAGCACAGAGCATAATACATGGTGAAGAACTACTTTCACAAATGTTACCCTTCCAGATTTTCCTCAGATACTATTCCCTTTCATGCTGAGGAAAATATTCAGTACCTCAGGTCTATCAGACCTATACTTCTGTACTGATGACAATGAAAAGTCTTCGAGTTTTTTTGTTGCTCTCCTTGTCTAACTACACTAGCATAACAGTAAGATCATCCAAGTCTCTCATGTTAGTGATTAAAAGTTAAGGAAAAAAATTTGACAACACTGTTGAAAAAAATACATTTTGTTGTCACCATTTTACATTTGAAATATTGGTGCATGGAAGAGATAGGGCTTATCCAAGAATATATCAGAACTATTTGTCACATTCTGGAATCACATTAGCTGTTCCACTTTCTGGTCCACTGCTTTTAGCTCAAGACATCTTTTATTGCTGTTTATAAAAGAATCAAACAGTATTTATTTGACCCAGACATTCAATGGCCCTTGTCCGAGTTCATAAGTAAGTGTGGAGAAATGAATGAGAGGCTTTTCCTCAGGAGCAGCTGTTGAAGACGATGCATGTAACTCTTGCCATACCCGTGTTTTGGAAGACACAGACATTGCATTTGCTTTCTCCAAGAGCAAGCAACTGAAAACAGGATGGAGGAGTGTCTAGCAATGCCCTGCTCTGCTCTGGCCAATGTTCTCAGTATTTTGTAGCGGAAAACCATGCTGTAAGCACCTAAACAGTAATTTTGAACATACAGCATCCAAGTGCTTTCCTCACTACTGCTTATGCGGTTGGGTGCCATTTTCTAATCCTTTATTAAGTGCAGTGTAAATTCATCATCCCAATTAAGCACAGAACACATTCATAAGCCAGTAGAAATACTGGTAATTGTTGTCAGTGTCCCAGTTTGTTTTTCTGGAGATAGCATTTGTAAAGAGCTGCTCCTCCAGTATGCTGGGAAGAAAAACAGTGAAGAAATGCAATGGCTTTATTCCTCTCCATTTGTGATGGAATAAAAAAAATATATGTGACTGTGCAATGGTCCAGGACAGATTTGTTACAAAGGTCATAGCTTCTTTGTGGTGTCTGATTTTACAGTTTTATCAACGGTGGTTTCTGTAAATGCTTGTTATTAAGGTTAGAAAGTGGAAAAAGTGAAGCAGTAAAATAAATGTAAGCTTATAGAAAGTGACGACAAACAAAATGTTGATGCCTTTCCCTCTGTCTAGACCCCTGTGTTAAAAACAGTGTTTTCTTAAAACTCAGACAGAATTCATTTCCATACTGAGTGCTTAATAGTTCCTGTCAGAACAAAACAGCTGGGAAACATGTGGTATCCATTTGCCTGTATCACTTGGAAAAAATTTCACATGTAAATAAAACCACATAAAAGTGTAGGCCTTTGAACCTAGAATCTTATACAATACATAAATAAGTCAGTACAGTGCATTCTTTGTATTGGCCCACAAAGTTACACGCCTTCTGATTATCATTATTTTTATTTCTTTTTCGGAAATGTATTCTTAAGCACTTCCAAAAGTATTAAGGTAATTTTCAGACATCCGTAACTACTAAGCTGTGCTAATCTTTCACTTCAAACATTAATGCTGCACTGAAAGTGTATATATCTGTTTCCTTAGGAAGGTGTTCATGGCAAATTTGACCACAGATTAGATCCCACTGATATGCAGTTAGCATGTGTAATAAATCTGCTATGTTTAAGCTACATTCTTGACTTTGAGAGTGCATTAACTCTAACTCTTAGTGTACAGTAAGTGGAGCATAGAAAGGAGAAAATGCCTAGAGTTTTTAGTGAATTTAGTGCTCTACTAAAAATAACAAAATAAAGAAAACTCTTTATCAAAGTTCAACTAATTAAAGAGAACATAAATATGACCAACTGGAACTGTAAAGAAGTGCAGGTCTGATAGGGTTAAGAGTTCAGGTGACTTGAGCTCTCTTCCTTCTCTGCAAGTCAGATTCACTGATGAAACTCCAATGTGCTGAAATAAAGCTCTAGAAGGTCCAGAGCTATAGGGGTGTGTGTGTTTGTGCATGCATGCGTGCGCATTAAGGGATGGAAAATTGGACCAAGAAGCCCAACATACAGAGGAGAAATGGAAAAAGAGACATTAAACCGGAATACGTAGGTCTTAATTTTCAAATCACTCAATCATAGAATAGTTTATGTTGGCACAGACCTCCTGAAGTCACAAAGTCCAACCTCTCTGCTTACTCAAGGTCAGCTAGTGTAAGTTGCCCAGTGCCATGTCTAGTGGAATTTTAAGTAGCTCCACAGACTGAGACTCTGGGCCACTGGTTACAGGACCAACATTGCAGCAAAAAAGTGTTTTCTTCTAAGTAAGGGCACACAGCTGTTGCTTTCCTTCTTGCATGTTCAGATGGCAGCAAAGCTAAACACGTATCTCTTATCTGGTCAGTGAACAGAACTGTGAAGAGCCTTGGCTCTTTGTTCTTCAGCACTTCCCATCATTTATTTATACACATGGAAAAGATTCTCCTGAGCCTTCTCTGGATTGAATAGTCCCAGTTCCTTCAGCCTCTCTTGAGATGAAAGAGATTCCAGTCCCAGAACCATGTTAGTGTCTTTGGGCCTGATTTATTCTAAGAAGTCCGTATCATTCTTGCACTGGGGAGCCCAGAAATGCACCCAGCACCTAACGTGTGGTCTTGCTGAGGCTGAGCAAAGAGAAAGGTTCACCTCTCTTGACTTTCTGTTTTGATGAAAACAGGATTTCTCATTCTCATATGAAAACGATATGAGTCTTCCAGAAATATTAGCCCTTAAAATACATATTGTTGTTGCTGTTGCTGAAACAGATTTTTTTTTTTGAAGCCTTTCATTGGCCTCTAAGGAAAGGCATCTTATTGCTCTGGAGCATCTTTGTGCAATTTGATATTTGCAAAAAGCAGGCAAGCAAGAATAGCTGGGCAAAGCCACTGTGAATGCCACTAGTTTTTTTAATAATGTCTATTACTTGACTCAAACTACTTTATTTATAAATGATCATAGAATCATGAAATCACACTATGGCCTAGGTTTGAAGGACCCTAAAGGTCATTGAGCTCCAGCCCCCATGCCATGGGCAGGGATGCCACCTACCAAATTGGGCTGCCCAGGACCCACCCAATGTGGCCCCGAATGCCTCCAGGGACGGGGCACCCACAGTGTCTCTGGGCAATAGTGCCTGTGCTTCACCCCCCTCTGAGTGACAATTTTCCATCTAACATATAGCCTAAATCTCCACTCCTTTATTTTAAAGCCACAGTGAAGTCTCCCTGGATCCTTCCCTTCTCCAGGCTGAACAAGACCAGCTCCCTTAGGCTTTCTCCATAGGAAAGGTGCTCAGCCCTTAGATCATCTTTGTGGCTGTCATCTCAACCTGCTTTAGATTACAAAAGCTTACAGTGTATGTCCTGTTTGAAGACTGCAGTTCTAGAGTGTCAAATTCTTCAGCTCTTAGCACAGAGTTGTGATTAAATCTTCTAAGGTATGAGTGAAATACGGTGTTGTGTTATTCAGGTTTCTGGTGCTTAGCCAGGTCTACCTTTGAAGCATATTATATCATGTCACTCATCTGGTAACGATAAGCAGTTCTAAGTCATATTCATCTGTTTTTCTAGTTTCCAGCAGCAACTGGAACTGTGGTGGCTCTGCTCTTATCGGAAATGCACAGAAACCAACAGGAATTGCAGATGCGTGCAATAAATTCAGACCAGTGAAGAGGGTTTCCCCATTAAAGCATCAGCCGGAGAGCTCTGAGAACAATGAAAGTGATGACCAAAAGAACCAGAAGGGTGAATACCAGAAAGGCAGTGACTCTCAGCCTGCACCTCCAAATGATGACCAGAGCCCAGGAGAAGGAGAAAACCTTAAAAGTAAAAACATTGAGCCTACTGTTCTGCTTGGGGAGCTGGAGCACTATGACCTGGATATGGATGAAATTTTGGATGTGCCTTACATTAAATCAAATCAGCAACTTGTTCCTTTCACAAAGGTAGCCCCTGAGAAAAAAATTTCTGGTGTATGCTCAACAGTGAATGGTGTTAGTGGCAAGACCTGCTCTACAGAGAGCACAGAGCCTGCTGGGGTGACACAGTTCTGTGTTCTCTCTCCTGTGAAAGGCTCTCAGCTGAGAAAAACGCAGCCCATTGTTGTTGATCAGCACAAGCATTTAACAGAAGAATTAGAGCTTTCCCAGCCTTTAGCGAAGTGTAGCTCAGTCCATGAATCTGAAGCCCAGGGCAAAGGGTTCCTCTGTAGGACATTTGTTGGTCCTCAGACTCACAAAACTGGGAAGACTATGCCAAACTGCCACCTAAGGACTTTTCACCTGCAGACAGCAGTGGCAGAGAGCAAGCAGCTTGAGGAACTGAATATGAGCTGGAGCAGGGCAGGGGGGCCAGAAGAGAGGAGTGAAGAGGTGAAAAAATTTAAGAGCATCTTAAACATTGTAAAGGAGGGGCAAATATCATTACTGGTAAGTATCATCTTTTTTCATAAACCACATAGAATAGGGGAGTTCTGTGCTGTGGTTTGTTTTGCTGGCAAAGCTTATAAAGTGTGCATTTTGAATCACCACTTGTTTTATCTTGTATGCTCCTTAGAAATTTGGGTGAGTGATCTTCCAAAGGCAAGGTTTTCATTTCTAACTCAAGTGTATAGCAGAGATGAGATACAAGATTGCTAGCTTATGTAGTATTCTGAAATCTTGTACAGGATAGGCATCGTAACTGTAGAGTTCATTTGTATATCGAATTTAAATCTTAGCTGGGTTTTGTTTTTCAAAACATTTGTGGGTTGCTTTGTTCAATTATTGGTGGTTTATCTCAGTTGTTATTTGGGGGCTGACAGTGGGAACAGAGGACCTTCTGTTGTATTCTGATTATTATTCAGGAGCGCTTATGCTGACTTGTTACAGCAGCATTCTCAGACAGGAGTTTTCTCTAACACTCCATTGGCCTCTGACCTGTATGAAGTTTTCAGTAATTCCAGCTATGTGATCAGACACTGTCGATGATGTTTCCCGGAGTAACGAGATTCAAGTGAGCACAGTGATGCAGAACACGTGATCCCCACTCAGAATGGCTGGAGGAGGTCCAGCATCCATAAAACTGTTTTTGTTAGATTTTTGTTTAGCTTCTCTGTTTATCAGTCTAGTTCAAGCACAAAGGCATGCTACTAGCATAGCAGCAAAAACAAAGGCAGACATTCAAAGACTAGGCAGGGACAGGAGAGTACATTAGAATACTCTGCAAGAAATAAGAGTAAATTTGCCCCAAATTGTGAAATGTTGGTAACTGGTAAAAACAAAGCAGACAAACAAAAAATAAGGGCATAGTAGGTAGGTGGGAGAAAACACATACTTTTTTTCCAAACAAGTCAAAACCTCTGAGTCAAGTGTATTCATCAGCAAGTGGTCTGGCAAGTCTGCACAGCTCTAGGAATTTACCACTGTTACTGGAGTTTATCAATCCAATTGTTTTGTCTGAAAATTAGACTTGGGCAGGAGTCGTGTATTAAGTCATGGTTGTGACTTTGGGTAAATATTCCAACAAATTATTTCTGTAATGGAAACAAGCTACCAAATAAAAGACTTCTTGTGTTTTAGCTGTGTTTTAGATGACGCTAAATACAAGCTGACACTTTTGTGATGAGCAAAATTAAACAGCTACATTTTAGGAGTCAGTCATGGATGTTTCCTGTTCAATGACTCATTATTATAATGCCAAAAAAGAAGAGATAGAGAAAACAACTGTAAGTAGGCAGAATTTAGGAAAATGCAGATGTTTTTACCAGTTCTTTGTTGGACTATAAGCTAAAGCTACTGAAGATCTTGCACTGTTATATGCCATTTGCACCAGGAAAGAAACTAAGCAGTGAATCTAGTCAATGAGCAACCTGCTTCTGTCCTTTTGCTAATGGTAGCCAGGTGCTGTACAAATGAAAAGCTTCTGATTTTGAGATATGAAAGAACATAGCTATGGGAAAATGTCTTTGTCTTATATCTTGGGTTCTAAGGCTTAAACTTCACAGTATCTTTTCATCCTTAGTTGTAACTAACATAACACCTTCTTTAACAGCCACATTTAGCAGCAGATAATCTGGATAAGATTCATGATGAATGTGACAACAATCTGTTGCATGTAGCAGCATCAAAAGGACATGCAGAATGCCTGCAGCATCTCACTTCTTTGATGGGTGAAGACTGCTTGAATGAAAGAAACATGGAGCAGCTAACTCCAGCTGGTTTAGCAATAAAGGTAACTCAATCTCTGTCTCTACTGTAGTGTGACATAAGGGCAATTTAGCTTCTTTCTGTGATTTGAGTAGGTAATAGATCCAGCAGGATGTTATTTTTCAAGCCTCTTGTTAAATGGAAAAAGAACAGTACCATTTAAGCCAATAAGTCTGTTATGATGTGGGATACTATGTCAGCTATACAAATAACACTGATGTTTTGTATGTTGCTGTCACTGAATATCATATTTTAATCAATTAACTGACTAAAAAATTGCAGTGTTCATAGAAACATTCATATAATTTGTGCTCAGTTGTATCTGTAGGGAACATAAAAATTCTTACAAATATATGTGGGATCTTGAAAGAGAGATGCGAAACCGTGCTTACAAAGCATGAAAAAACTGATCCACATCTGGACTTGAAACTTTCTGGATGTCTGGAACAGTTGCATCAAAGTTAATATCTACATTTTTACAGAGCAATCCATAAGAAACTGCAAAAATTAGTGTGAAAGCATACTGGAAAACCTACTTCATAGCAAAGTATGGAACTGAATGGTGATTCTTGGCTAAAGTAAAATGTGCTGTGTACTGAAGGCTGGTGTAGGGCCAAACTTACCCTGAGTCTTTCATAATTAAGGTTGGATGGTCAAAGACCATTCCTCTTAGTCACTGAATACCTTAAGAACAAAAAATGGAAGTGGTGAGGACTGTTCCTGATTTTTCATTTTTTTTTATTGTTTGCTTCTTGGGAAACCTGAATAACTGACAGACAACTGGTAGATTCTAGCCTGCAGGTTTGTATCTTGGAGAGGTCATTCCAATGACCTGGTGACTGCATACTGGTCTCAGGGATTTTATTCCATTTAATGAGAATAAAGTTAAACAGATAGTTAGCGACACTAATGAATTGCTCTTATAAAAGTCATATATTTAGCTTCAGTATCCTGGCCCATGTCCAACTTGAATAATTATATTCTGCCAATTTGAAGTCTTACAGTTTTACTTGGAAGTAGTTTTCTTTCTTGTTATTTCAAGATAGGTAGATAAGACATTTATGATATAGTTATGTTTGACCTTTTTTCTCCAGAACGACTGCTGTTTAATAATCAGTTTTTGTAAAAGTTCTGTCACACCTGAGCCATGCTTTTGCCAGTAAATAATGAATTATTATAGCAAGTGATTTTGATTCAGGAGTTCTTTCTGACATAGAGCTAAAAGCTACAGTGAAAACATAACGGTATATCGTGGCCATGTTTATGGCTTATTTTTCATGACTGTGTAGAAACTCTCCATGAATTAGAAGAAAAATATGTTAATTTTAAATTTAAATTACATGATTATGATACATAAAACACATTTATCATTTAGGCATGCTTACTAATATTTGAATACAAATTTGGTGATGAAGATTTTTCTAACACAATGAAAAGAATACAAGTAGTTTCATTGATAAGAGCTTACTGATATTCAGAGAAATAGAAGAAAGTAAGTGAAGTAAAACAATGTGCACTTAAATGTGTATACACATGCTTATACATGGAAGAAATAAAATAAATATCAAATTGATTCTTTTTTTTCCTTCTTCCAATAATTTGAAATGGCTTAATATTTTTTACGTCCTTGTCCTTGTTTTTTTAAAAACAAATCTGGAACTTGAAATTGATATTTCTTTTCTTTGCACAATAACTTTTTCCTTTTTATGCATTCAGAAAGCTTTCTGTGTTCTGTCTGCTGGCTTGATTTTGACTGAGTGCTTGAAATATAAATTTTTAGCTATATAATAACCTATATATTCTATTAGCTATAACATATAATAACCTTCATGAAAATATCAGAGTGTGCGTTGTAATAAACTGCATCTGCTGAGATATAATTGTTGAAAGGGGAAACTGCAGCAAAAGAAGCTGCTAAAACGTCCTGCCTTCACACCAGCCCACAAGTAAGCTCTGAAGAAAATGTATCCATCTATTTTTGCAGCACCTACATCATACTTTGTAGAAACTTGCTGTAAGAGTGCAGATAGCACTTAAGGACTCTTGAGATTGGGATGTAAAAGGTGTTCAAAACAAGAACCACCTCCTTGTTTGTGTTTGATCACAACTGGTGCCACTAAAAAAAGGCAGAGGGTCTTAGTAATTGGAAATTTTGCTGAGAGGCACTGAGGCATCCATCTGCCTCCCACATAACTTCTCTAGAGGGGTTTGCTGCCTCTAGAAGAGGCTACCAGGTATGATAATGCCAGATGACTACTATCCCTTCCTGGTGTTTCAAACTGGTTCACACAAGGCTGTAATCAGGAAATTGAAAAATACCAAAAAAGGCTTTGCATCCCTTGGAGAGGTGTTGAGGGGACTGGGAGCATGGGTAGTGTTCTCCTGAGTCCTCAGTTGGAGACTGGGATACAGGCAGAAAGAGTAAAAGAGTCTGAGTTGCCCTCTATATTAAAAAGTGGGTAGGCTGTGAGGAGCTCCCGCTGTGTAACAGTCATGAACACGTTGAGAGCCTGTGGGTTAAGATTAGGGATGGGACCACTAAAGAGCAGCTGGTGGTTGGGGTCTACAACTAGCCACCTGAACGAGGGGAGCCTAATGGTGATGCCTTCCTGCTTCAGCTGAAATAAATGTCGCACTCACCTTATCCTGATGGGAAATTTCAACCACCCATATTTCTGTTGGGAAAACAATTTGGTGAGGTGCAAGTGTTCGGGAGACTCCCAAAGTCCACTGATGACAACTTGCAGATTGAAATATTGGACAGATCCACCAGAGGTGAACCTGATGCCCACCAGTGTTGAAGAGATCATTAAAGACATTAAGATTGGAGACAGCCTGAGCTGCAGAGACTATGCCTTCATGAACTCAAGAGAAATAGGCCTGACAAAGAGTGAAGTCAGAACCCTATACTTCAGGAGACCGATCTTGAGACTATTTAAGGAATTTCTGAAGACTAGTGAGAAGCGGCATTCCTTTGGATTCAGTGTTGGGACTGGTGCTTTTTAGCATCTTTGTACGTGGCATGGAGAGTGGGATCAAGCACACCCTCAGTAAGTTTGGAGATGACACCAAGCTGAGTGGTGCAGTTGACACATTAAAGTGAAGGGTTGCCATACAGAAGGACCTGGACAGGCTTGTGAGGTGGGCCTATGCCAACCTCATGAAGTTCAACAAGGCCAGGTGCACAGTCCTGGCTCCTGGATTGGGGCTATATCAAGCACAGATACGAGTTGGGCAGAGAATGGTTTGAGAGCAGCCCTGAGGAGAAGGATTTGGGGGTGTTGACTGAGGAAAGATTGAGCACGAGCCAGCAGTGTCTGCTTGCAGCCCAGGCAGCCAACAGTGTCATAGTGTCATCAAGAGAAGTGTGACCAGCAGGTCAATGGAATTGATTCTGCCCCTTTTCTCTGCTCTTGTGAGACCCCACCTGGAGTACTGAATCCAGTTCTGGGGCCACCAGCACAAGAAGGACATGGAGCTGTTGGAGTGAATACAGAGGAGGGCCATAAAGATAATCAGAGGGCTGAAGCACCTCCCTTATGGGGACATGTTGAGGGAGCTGGGGTTCTCCAGCCTGGAGAAGAGAAGGCTCCAGGGGAACCGTATAGTGGCCTGATAGTACCTGAAAGGGGTCTACAGGAAAACTGGGTAGGGACAGTTTGTAAGGACAGGTAGTGACAGGAAGAGGGGAAATGGCTTTAAACTGGAAGAGGGTATATTCAGACTAGATATTAGGAAGAAATTCTTTTCTGTGAGAGTGGGGAGACTCTGGCACAGGTTGCCCAGAGAGGTTGTAGATGCTTCTTCCCTGGAAACATTCAACTCCAGGTTGCATGGGGCTGTGAGCAGCCTGATGTAATGAGAGGTGTCCCTGCCTATAGCAGGGGGTTGGATCTTAGAAGGTTCTTTCCAACTTAAACCATTCTAAGATTCTATGATTTCTTGGGAAGCTGTCCTCAGAGACTAAGGACTAGAACAAAGCTGACTGCTCTTTAAGGATGCCTTTCTGAGAGTGCAAGAGCTCTCTGTTCCCAGTACAGGAAAACCAGTAGGGGAGACAGGAAACCACCATGGCTCCACAAGGAGCTGTTGATCAAACTAAGGGAAAAGAAAGGCAAGTACAGGCAGTGGAAGCAAGGTCATGTCACCTGGGAAGAATACAAGGATGCTGTCTGACCTTGCAGAGGTGGATCAGAAAAGCCAGGACACAGATGGAGCTGAATTTCGTGAGGAATGTTAATAACAATAGGAAGGTATTCCATAGGTACATTAGTCTGAAGAGACAGGCCAAAGAGAGCATCCCTCCTCTGATGAATGAGAAAGAATATGAAAGATATGGAGAAGGCTGAGGTACTCACTTAGTTCTCTACCTCAGTCTTCACTGGCAGACGGATTCTCACATTCCTCAACCTCTTGGTGGGAAACTGGGGGAGAAAAATGCCCCCCGCTATAAGGGCAGAGCACATCTGAAGTTGGCTCATGAGACTGAATGTGTACAAGTCTATGGAGCCAGACAACATGCATCCCAGGGTTCCAAGGGAGCTGGCTGAGATGGTTACTGAGCCAATCTCTATCATATTTGAAAAGTCATGACTGTCCCCAGGGACTGGAAAAATGGAAACATCGTTCTCATTTATAAGAAAGGTAGGAAGGAGGATCTGTGGAACTACAGGGATGAGCAGGAGATCTGAGACAGCTAACACAACTTCACCAAGGGAATATCGTGCTAGAATGATCTGGTGGCCTTCTGTGATAGAATGATGGCATTGGTGGACAAAGGGAAGGCAACAGATGTCATCTACCTGCACTTCCACAAGGCCTTTGACATGATCCCCTACCACATCCTTATCTCTAAATTAGAGATACGTGTATTTGAAGGGTGGACTATTTAGAGAATAAGGAATTGGTTGGAAGGTCACAGCCAAAGAGTTGTGGTCATTGGCTCTATGTCCAGCTGAGGACACCAAGTGGTGTCCTCAGCAGTCCATCTTTGAACCAGTATTCTTTAATATCTCTGACATAGATGAGAACCATGAAGATGATAAGAAGGTTGGAGACCTCATTATGTCCTTGCAACTCTTTACACAAGTATATAGTGACAGAACAAGAGGGAGTACTTTCAAACTAGAGGAAAGGAGATTTAGATTAGATGTCAGTGAGAAGTTCTTGTCTGTGAGGGTGGTGAGGTGCTGGAACAGATGGCCCAGAGAGATTGTGGGTGCTCCATCTCTACCGGTCTTTAAGGTCAGGTTGGGTGGGGCCCTGGGCAGCCTGATACAGCCTTGGTCTAGCATCTGTTAGCCTTACCTGTGGCATCAGGGAATGGAAATTGTTGATCCATGAGGTCCCTTCCAACCTGGGTGATTCTACCATTGTATGATTCTGTGATTCTATGATTACAGGTCCTAACGCAAAAGGATTAAGTGTTCAGAAAAACATATGCTCCAAAAAGTATTACTGCTCCAAAAGTAATGCCTCCTTTTTTTTATTATGTTGACTGATGATGTCCTAGGCAGATGTTGGTGATATGGCAGTAGAGGTTGAATCTTCCAGCCAATATTCTATTACATTTTCTTGCCATGAGACAGATGGCAACAGAGGGGCAATCTGGCAAAATGGTGTCTGACATGGAAGTGCATAAGAAGACAAGCTGTGTAACTGAATTCCTCTATCGGAAAAAGTATGGCCCTGACTGACCTTCATCGATCCTTACTGAACATTTATGGAGACCAAACCGTGAATGTGAGCACAGTGACATGATGGGCGGTGGTCACCTCCACTGGCACAGATTTTTGTGAGCTTTGCATGCAGGCTCTTGCTCAACACTGATGAAAATGAAGAGCTAATGGTGGAGACTGTGTAGAAAAATAGTGTTTTGTAGCTGAGAATTTGCTCTATTAAACAGTGTTACTGTGCTTTTTGTAACCGTTGTAGCTTCCATTGAAATAAATAGGAGACATGACTTTCAAAATTACTTAAATATAATAATAGCTTAATCTTGCATGCACTTTGTTATTGATAAATGAAAACTAGACCTTATAGGGAAATACACTGTTCAGCATACTTTGGCAAATGAACCTTCGCTCCAGACATTAAGTTTTGTTGTATGGGTTGTAGAAGCATAGCTATGGTTTTGTTCTTTATAATCTAAGAGTATCTAACAGGCATCAGATCGTGTGTGTAATATTTCACTGCCTCTTTAACTGATGTATGCTGTGGTGTCATTCAGCAAATATTCTGTACTGTAGTTTTACTCAGCTATACTTTTAGGAATGAGAAGATGGAAATCCCAGGGCAAGTATAAGCTGATGGCATATTGTAAATAATGTAATACTTAGATAAGATAAACAAACGTAATACTTGAGAACAGATAAAAGATGAACTGTCAAAGAAACAGAAATTTCATAACATGCTAATAATTCTAATAAGCTTCTTCATGTTAAGTAGACATGTTTGGATTGAAACAGATAAGATTTTTAATTTTTTTTCTTTGTTTAGAATGGTCAGCTGGAGTGCGTTCGGTGGATGGTGAGCGAAACAGAAGCTATTGCAGAACTAAGTTGCTCAAAAGATCACCCAAGCCTTATTCATTATGCTGGCTGCTATGGTCAGGTATGATTTTCACTTTTTCAAAAAGATTACTGAATTATTCACAAAGGAATTTCAGTTTAAAGAATCTTTATTATTTTGTGGTTCTTAAAAACAGGTAATTGTAATTAGTTCTAATGTTGAAAGAACATTTCCCACTTTGAATTTTTTTTTCATTATTCTCCTTATTAAGTCCTTTTTTTTTTTTTTTTTAAGTAATGGTTTGGGGAGGTTACATGGATTATTATGCCAGTCTATCAGTCCCATGACAATCAGGCGAATATAGCATCATGATCCCTTGCTTTGCTAGGACACGTCAGAAAATCGTCAAACTTTTTGGATAGTTCTGATTCCTTTTACAGGAGAGATTAATCTCAAAAAAAAAAAAAAAAAAAAAGGAAGAAAGAAAGAAAATTGGCATATTGAGACAATCTAGGAATTCATTATACTGGCAGTGAAGCGAAGCATGGCAAAACTTGAACATCATCTGTACAACTTTGGTTTTATTGAGAATTATGTATAAAAATATGTAGCAAACCAATCCTGTTCCACACCTAGCTTACATATAAATCTGATCATGAGAAACCACAGAAGTACAGCATTTTGGTACTTGGCTAATGTCTGGGGAAACATATACCACTCGACTGCACCACATTCTCCTCTTACAGTCTGTTTTTCCTAAACAAGCCTTACAATAACCGCTGTTCAAAAGATCTTCTCTAGAATATACTATACAAGGAATAGTAATTGGTTATTCTTCTCTAATGTTTTTGGAAGATGAGCCACTCATATCATCCATTTTCTTCAAAAGACATTAATGGGAAATGCAGAAAATATACTATTGTTGTGCTAATGCTTTTGTTGATCCAAAGAAACTTAGCTTTCTCTTTCCAGTACAAGCATGGTTGTTTCCTGCTATGCCATAAAAATATTGTGGCATGTTCCTGCTGTTAACTGATTTTTTCCAAGCACAGATTTGTAGACAGGGGTAGAAAAAGAGGAGCATATCTGGAAGGCTGTGAATCTGGAAGTCCACTCTTCATCTTGCTGCATCCTGAGCCACCACAGACACCTTTGTTCTCATGCTGTGCTAAGTCCTCTGTATCTCTCTGCTCACCTGTTATGCAGATGTCACTAGTGCAAATTAGCAATCTGCTGGACATACTGATTAATTGTCCTGCTTTCTGTAACAAGTTGAGCTTATAAAACTTTCACTGAAGATAAGGAAGCTGGGAGCCCCATCAGAACTGGATCTGAGTAGAGGTTGCTTGTTACTAGAAAGAAAGTTTGGAAGAGAAAGCTTCATATGAATTTAGGCTTGTGTCTTCGTTTCACTGATGTAATTTTTCCTCATCTCTAAATGTGTTTATACAAACTAAATCCAGTGAACTCTGTTGTTGTGTTTTTTTCAGTGAGCTATGCTGTCTACTGTTAGGAATAGTTTTGGCAGGCTTAATCCAGATATTCTTTTAGAGCAGAATGGAAGCAGCACCAGCTAAGAAATGCCAGCTATAGTTAACCATGCACAAAATGTAGAAAGGTGATATAAAAAGTGCTGCCAAATTTTTTTAGTTAGTTGAATGCCAAAGAAAGTTCACATGTAACGTCAGCTATTTTTTTTTTAATTTTTTCTTTTAATAATCTGTAAATGTCTTGAAAACATGAAGGAATGTTGAGGCTGAAGAGAAGCCAGATTATCTTGCCCAACTGTGTTAAGGAGAAAGAAGTTTAGATATTCAAATGTGTAGTTGGCACTATCCTCAAAGTTTTAATTTATTTTACCATTAGTTACGTGAGAGATAATCCATGTAAACACTAGTCTTGGCAGAATTGCAGGAGTAATATTTTTACAAGGAAGACCTGTTATAGAATCTTTCTCTATGAGTCAGCCCATCCATTGTTTCCCCAGGCATTAGGAGTGCACACCATATTTTTCTTGAACAACTATCATTTAGAATGGGCAGCAAAAGTGAGTTCATAGCAAAGCTCCTATGTTAAAGATCATCAAACCACAGCCATGGCCAGATTCCAAAAGCATTTCAGCAGTGCTGTATTTTGTCCAGTGTGAGAGGAACTACATATGTTCAACTAATGGAAGAAGAGTGTGTAACCAACCTGGAGCCTGGTCTGCAAACCTCCTGCCAAGGGTTTCTTTAAGTATGAAGTCTTGCAAGAAGCAACCATGGTTGACACAGCTTCCCATAACAGGTTGTTGGTGCATGACACATTACATAACATTCGATTCTGCCACAGGCATGTGTATTTAGTCCTGGCTTTGAAGAGCTATAGTTTCTTTCCAACATGGACTACATAGGGAAGAGACATAGTATGGGGGAATGCCAAGTGTTTGTCACATTCAGGTGCAAGAGAATCAGGAAGGGCTTCAGGAAACCAGAGCTACAGTGTGACTGAAAGGTTTTTGTGTGCATCTTGGCAGCGGTGTACTGCTGGAAATCACAATGTGCTGGGGAGAGTGTGTAGCACAGACACACAAATGCATATTTATGCACTTCAGGATGTTTCCCTTCAGCTTGGTGACCACCATATGGTCATATGGCTTTTCACACATCTCACAGTTTTCAATTCAAAAACCTAGTATTTACTGGGAATTTATTAATTAATCAATATCAAGTAATGGGCAAAGATTAGCTGTAGAGTTAGTACACTTCACCATGCTAAGCCTTCCATTTGTAGTCCATTTAACAATTTGGACAGTTTTTCTTTACTGTTCTTCCTATTTCAAAAGCCAGCTGATGGAGCCAAAGTCTACAGCTTGTCCCAAGACAGAAAATATGCTTTATGATATTTTTCTAGATTTTACTTTTATAGGGAAGTTTGAATCATTGTTAGGTCTGAAATATGCCAGCGTGATATTAACCGTTGCTACAAAATAAGACTGTTGAGTCTTAAAATGATCAGATATGCTGAATAATTTGACACTGTTTATCAGGTCCTGTTACACAACAAGTATGTGATTACTTTACCTTATCAAAATCTTACAGGTAAATGTTATTATTCTTCATTTTGTCTGAATAAATCGTATCAATGATGTTAAGCCTATTTCTCTCTATTTCTAAGTGCCCTCTTCTTCCAAATATATAAGCATTACTAAAGTGATAAATAATATATGATTTTTCATTCTTCAGTAAGTGAAGAAAAAAGTTGTTTTCCCTGTGTTTGTGCGTGATGTCAAAGATCTGTTACAATACAGTCATCTGGGGGAAACACAAACTATTTTAGCAGGCCTCTAATGTTGTTCTTGTGATCAGTTCTAAGTTCTCTAAGTAGAGATGATGTCACTTAGTTACCCATCCTAGTACTTGGTTTCTATGTTGATAAAATAAATTACTAAAAAGCATAATTTGCTCCATGCTGATTGGGATTGTAAAATTACAGACCATGCTCAATATTTTGGTCATGGAATAAATGTATTCTGAAAAAATACATAATTTCTAGGCAGAGGAATTTTTCTAAAATATTATTCTTTTCATTATTAATATATAAGCACAATTCACATGAGTAGCATAATTCTCCTCTGCTGCTTGCCAACACCAGAGGCAAATCCAGAAATTGCTCAGAAGTATTTTTAAAGGGATATGTGATCTCAAGTTGTCTCTGTGTGTTGACTACCAATTATATATGCCCGCTATATCAGCTGGCATTCAGCAATATAAATACCTATTCTTTCACCCTGTAATAAGAAGAAATTGCTGTTAAAATGAAATACAGAGAAGTTCTAGACACTATAGCCCTCTGAAGCAGAAAGCAGAGAGATTCAGGTGCTTGAACAGATGGAGTTGCTTCAAGGACACCTAAAAAGTCAGAGGTTCCATCTTTCCTCTAACAACTCAGTGCACTGACAGAAAGTTCAGGATGGCAGACTTCCTGATTTTAGTTCTATTGCTTCTCTTCTTGCACAGTAGTCAAGAGCTGTAGACAAGTAGACAAGTCTGCTCAGCTCATGATCTGTGCATACTCCTGTTTTAGTTTTCCAAAGATGCTTATGAAGTTCCACCAAGTATCAAAAGAAGTTTTTCAGGTTTGAAAGCAAGGTGTGCTATGTCAGGTGTCCTTTCCAGGGTGTAGGCGTGCATGCTTTTCTGTGTACAATCTGTGAAAATGTGTTACTTACTGCAGATTCTTCTTATAAAACAAATAGAGTATTGTGGTGTATTGCTTTGGAAAAAATAAATAAATAAATAAAAAAGCACCCAGAGGCAGGCTTCTGATAGACCAAGTCCTGCAATAGTAAGAGAGATTGAAATCAAGGTCTTGCAAAAGCAGTTATTGGTCAGTGCTATACCAGATGACAATACCAGCATTCCTCTAGTACCTGTCCATTCTTATTATTCCTTATCTTTTGTGGCATCTCTTTCACCCCTTCTCTTAGGAGAAAATCCTTCTATGGCTTCTTCAGTTTATGCAAGAACAAGGGATTTCACTGGATGAAGTTGATCAGGATGGAAATACTGCTGTTCACATAGCTGCTCAACATGGCTATCTAGGATGTATACAGGTAGAGTATTATCTACATCAGAAATGTAGTTTAAGTCAAATGAATTTTGAATTATGAGCTATTGAAGTATTAAAATGTTTACAGGAAACTTTACACATAGAACTAGTTATTAATACCTTAAGATATACTGGAATAAACAAATAGAACTCAGACTAAAACACCATAAAGTTCTTTTTTAAAATTCTATTATGCTATTTTGAACCTAAAGTAAACATACTGCCAGAAGATAGCATGATTATTTAGTTTAGGCACGAGCAGTTAATACATGTGTTGCTCTGTAAAAAAAAAAGGCAGCCAATATGGATGTGATCTTCTTACTGATTTTGATGTTTTCCTTCTGTTTCTTTTTCCAATGAAAAGTTGCAGCTCTTCTTAGCAAAGTCTAAAAGTTGCAATTTGTTCTGTGTGCTAGGATTTCCACCTTGAGCAAACCATTCTTTCCAGAGTTGTAATCTTTTAGTGTAACAATACGAAACATAATAGTGTGAAAGTGATTTCTTAAACAAATTGTATTTCCACAAAGAGCAATACAGCTCTGTTATACAGAGCTGCTTTAAAGGGAATTTGACCTGTTGAGAGAAGATTTGTATGGCTACAGTGCTTCTGAGAGCCAGATCTGAATAAATCAGTTTGGATAACTCTCTACAGTACCAGTGTTCAATGTAGACAAGCCAAAAACGCTGTATGGTTGAACTGAATGGCGCTTGGAAAAAAAACCCAACTTCACTTTGTCTTGAATCAAGGACACAGATGTACCCTTTGTCCATCAGAGTCAACAGAACCATTAGTCACAGGAGTACATTCTAGTATTTGGTGGTGGGATCACTTTGAATGAAAGCTGTTTGGAGAAAAAATAGTAACAAAATTAATTCAGGCAACTAAAAAAATGATATTTGAGAAACAAATCAGCTACTGAAGAGTGGCTTGAAGAGCAGATCCTCATGTTACAATCTACATAGTGCTATTTGCAGATTTGTAACTCCTCCTGCTTGTTTATCTTTATTGGCAAGTTAATCTCAAGGTTTTTTTTATGTTCAGTACAGTTCAAGAGTGCTCATAAGTTTCTATTCGTCTCCTTGGTCAGCAGACGAAAAGGTCTCTGTGCCTGCTGCTCTGAGTCAACAAGGTCACTCTAAACCCTAGCTGGTCTCATCTGCTCCTGAATAATTCAGTCAGCCTAGGTGGAGCTCAACCACCCACACCCCCTACAGCTAATGATGCTGTTTTGGGATATATTACGGTTTGGTTCAGCATTTTTTTCTAGAGTGCTGTAAGAAAAGCCTGACTAAAAACTGCTGCATACACCTAGCTCTCATTCTATACATGCAAAAATTGGAACACTGATTATCATAAACTAGAAGAAAGCGTGAGAGTTTGTTTTTAGTTATTGCAAGTCTTGAAGTCAGCTTGACAGAACTTTGTGTTTACAATGTTTTGGATTCAAATTCCAGAATTCAGAGATTGTGTTCACTATCTGGACAGTTTCCTAGCAACAAGCTGGAGTTTTACTTCTGTGTTTAACACAGGGATAAGCATCAGAATATGAGCTGTGGCCTAAAGACTAGAAGCTGACAATTACTTCAGTATTCTCTAAGGAGATAGTAGAGGGTAACCCAGCTGGAAAGCAATGAGATGTTTTCCAACGTGAAAACAGCTTGAAAAACTCTTTGAACAGATTTCTTTCTTCATAATTCTAAATAGTTCTGAACCTTAATAATGTTGAGCCCATCAGAACCAAAGAGGTTTTTGGGAAGACTCTACTCCACCTTTTCTATCCAAGCATTAATTCTCTAATAGCTTCTCTAAAGATATTTGAGGCTGTTCCACTGAGTGTTTCAAACCCAGCTATTACAGCTCATTGCTGCCCTCTATAACCTCAGACACAAATGTTCTAGCATGGATGCTTCTCAGTTGCAGCTGCCCATGTCTCCTTTTCTAAGTCTACCATGTTCAAAATTAGCACAATGGTCAGCAAAGCACAGACATCTGAAAAAGTTTATTGCCATGTCTCAGAAGTGAATTATTAGTTGCTTAAATGTAAGTATTCTGTTTTCATTTGCTGGTTTTCACATTTTTCATTCACAGTATGAATGCTAGAAGCTATGTTATCTCACAGAAACAAATGTTATCTCACAGAAACAAATGAGCAGAAAACTAACAGAATTTCAAAAGCAGAAGGAAAAATGCAAACTTTGTACAATGCCTTTTAACCACAGAACACTCTGCTGTGTTACCCTTGCTCCTGTGGATTTTAGTTATGTGTAAAGATTCATGCTTATGGATGTCATTGTTTCCTTTCTTGACTTTACAGACATTAGTTGAATATGGAGCAAATGTCACCATGCAAAACCACATGGGAGAGAAACCCTCACAAAGTGCTGAGCGACATGGGCACACGATGTGTTCCCGCTACCTAGTGGTGGTGGAGACCTGTATGTCATTGGCCTCTCAGGTTGTCAAGCTAACAAAGCAACTAAAGGAGTAAGTGTTTAGTTCTTAGGGTTCTTAGGGGTTTATTCTTAATACCATTTTTTGTTTTCAGTTTGTTAGCAGTGTCCACTTTCTGCTTCTCATATGAGTCATATTCCTCCCTTATTTTGCCATGCTTTCTCACTCCTTCACCTTTAGTTTGTCAGCTGTTCTGTTTCTGGCATCTTTTTGTGAACTGAAATGAAGGGAATGGGAGTGAAAAGGGGAATATACACAATATAAATGTATACATAAGCAATGCAGTCCTTTTCCCCATTGAGTGCCTTGAGATGACATCATTGCTGATCACAATTTTTGTTCATATGGCATGTTTCCTTTTATATACAGTTGGTGGCTCTTCACAGTTGTAATATTGGTTTTCAATATTAGGAGGAAACAGAAATAGCAGAGCTTTTCATCTACCACAGGCAGTGAAAATGCCTTTTGAAACAATATATATAATGAAACCATATCATGTTATGCAAACAGTGTGAACGATTGTATTGAGTGTAAACTCCATGGTTTTATTTGCATATGGTTGAAAACAGGTGGCCTCTGTGACAAGAGGTCAGGGGGTTTCAGCCATTTCCAACAAAAGAGCAGCTGAAGGACACAGCTGAGTTTATCATCCAAGCTGCTGATGTCTCTAAGGGAACGTACTTGAAAAATGGCAGAATATGTCAAGGAGGAGGGAACAAAGAGAGATTGAGGTAACAAAAGCATCAAAGGAGTTGCAGGTGCTCTGTGATAAGGAAAAAACACCTACAAAGGAACTGCTGCCCATGCAGGAGCAGGGAGCAGGCACACTCCTTGAGGGCAGTGGAGCCCTCACATAAGTCCATGCCATATCAGTTGGATCCTGAATAAACTGAAGTGTGCAAAGCACTAGAGTACAAGAAGTGTGAGAAGGAAGGAGAGAAGCTGCTGCACACTGTTTCAGACCTATGTCATTCACTGCATTCCTGAAAAGAGTGAGTGTAATCTGCAGTGATAGCATGGGGATAGGAGAGTTGCCTAGAGTGAAGCCTGACAGTGAGGCAGGAAAGGTGCTTGGAGCACAGATGAAAGTAGTAAAAGCCCAAACAAGGGGAAGTTAGGTGTTTTATATGTTTTCCTATTTTTGTTTCCCAATACATAATCCATAAAAATTCATGCTAATTGTCTATAAATTAAATTTATCAAATCTGTTTTGCTTCTGATGGTAGCTGATAAGTGACGTGCCTGTGGTTATCTCAACACACTTCAATTCTTCCTAATTTTTGCCCCTATCTCATGGAGGTGGCTGCGTGGGTGCTTGCCTGCCACCCAGAGCCAACTCACCACAGCAATTCAGTTTTTATTACCATAATAAAATGAAACTTAAAAATAAACAAATAGCGCCATTTTATTATAATCAGATACTTGTTTTGTAATTTTTTTAGGAGAGAATGGGTAGTATTAGTTCTCTGTCCTTACAGGTCTGCATAAAAATCCAAGTATAGCATGAAGTGCATGCCTGGAGCAACTTTTCAAGGAGCCCCATCTCTAATAATGTGGGAGAGTTTATTGGCTGCAGCACCTCTAAAAATCCCAACAGCATCTGAACAAAGTCCAGTTTACAGCCTAAGTCATTTTAAACTGTTCTTATGTAGGAAAAGATCCTGCTTGGGCAGCTGAGCTAGTTTTGCTGTATTTACTCCACCTATTTCTACTGGTCTTCATGGACATTATTCTAGTTATATTCAAATCATGATGGATTACTTGACTGTTCAGGATAGTACTATCAACACACTAACCCTTATCTGCTTCCCTACTTTTTCTCAGCTACTGTAAACATGCGTTGATTGTACACACTGCTTAATTTTCTGGACTCCTTATCAACAAGGCATAAGAAATTCTCTGAATACTGTATGCCTCCAACCACTAGAAGACTGAAATGACTGATACTGTGCAAGAAGAACAGAGTACAGAAACTGTCTTAAATCAACACCTTAAAGATCTTTCTTCAATGGTCTGAAACCAAAGAAGAGATTAATATATTTCATTCTCTTCTTATGAGCTCTTCCAGACAACACAAAACAGTTCTATTCAGAAATCACCCTAATCCGTCACACTCTCTGGAGTCATTCCTGAAGAGAAGTCACAAAAGCAAAACAATAAAATCACAGTCTGCCAAAGTCTTCATGTCTTACGGATCTTTGATCCAAAGCAGTTCATTTTAAAGATGAAAAACTGCAACAACAACAACTTTTGAGTTCAATCTAGGTCCCCTTTCAGCAAAGATTTTATGAAAGAAGGAAACTATTTCTAACTAGAAAATTTTGATTAAATCTTCATAGGAGGATTAACTGAGACTGTTCCAAGAAAATGAAGAAACAAAAAAAATCTTTCTGTAGTTAAAAAAGGAAAGTGGCCCACAGAAATAAATAAATAAATAAATAAATAAATACATCTGCTACTAACTTCAAAATAAATCTTTGGTTTTCATCTCTTGCTAATTACAGAACTTTGGTCAAACCAATACAATTTTCTGAACAATTTTCTGAGAGAACCCAGTATAGTCACAAAAATTTTTCACAGATCCTATACAAAGTACTGGTTGTCGTTCTGCTTTCACACAACTCTGTAGGCCTTACCAAGTCACTGTCTCACATTTTACAATTTGCCATGTAGAAAGAGTCTGAAGCTCTGACTGATGACAAGTTGAATGTGATCCAGCAGCATGCCCTGGGGTGCATCAGGTACAGCACTGCAAGCGGGCAAGGGAAGGGATGGTCCCACTCTGCTTCACCTGGCGTGTACTTGAGTACTGAGTACAGACATGGGCATGGAAGGACATGAAAATATTGGAAAACATCCAAAAGAGAGCTACAGAAATGATGAAGGGTCTAGAGGACAAAACATATAAGGTTCCTTGGTTTGTTTGACCCATAGGAGATCGAGAGGTGGCTTCATCACAGCCTACATCGTCCTAAATAGGGAAGCAGAGGGGCAGAGGCATGGAACAGGCTCCTCAGAGGTGTTGTCACAGCCACAAGCTGCCACGGCTCAAATAGTGTCTGGATAATAGTGTCAGACATAGGATTTGGATTTTGGGTGGTCCTGTGTAGAGCCAGGAGCTGGGCTCAATGATCTTTGTAGATCCTTCCAACTCAGAATATTCTGATTCCATGATTCTATTTTCTAGCTATTATTAAGGCAACATACTATGAATGATGATACTTCATTAGATAATGCTTCACTACATTCCCTATTCAGTAACTAAACACTCTGAATTCATTTAGAGGTTCAGAATTATCTAAGGAGAGGTATCAGGTTCCTCACATAGCACCTAGTGGGATCATTGTCTAAAATACAACCCTATGAATTTGGTATTGAATACCTTAAAGACTTTCTTACTTGTAATTCTGCAGTGGTCTTGTCTCCTGAATCAGACTCATTTTAACACTTAATATTGTTGTTCCAAGGAGTTCAGATCTCTCATTTTCAGTGTTATCATAGGTATGTATGTGACATTTCTCTGGAGAAATGTCTGGCAGGATGTTTCTGTGTACTGTGGGGTGTCCATTAACAAGTTGAACTGTGAAAATGAAGGAGATGTTGATTCTCTTAGCACAATAAAATGTTTAACTGCAAAGAGGATGTTAACACTGTAGAAGAGGTGTTATACATTTCCATTAAAGCTAAACGTTTGAGATTTAGATATTTAGAAATAGAAGTTGAAGAACACATAAAAAGAAAGTCAAACAGATATGTAAGTCTAATGTGAACAAAAGTACTAGAAACATATTAGTTCTGCAGCAACAAACATAGAACATGAGTGAAACAGACGAGGTCATATTTGCCTGCTGGGTTCTTATTTTTCCTGATCAGGTAATTAAACCAAACGTACAAATTGCATCCCAAGTGAAAGATAGTTTATATGCACAAATGAAAAGCTGAAATGAAAATTACTGTTTTCTGGTAGTTTCCCAATAATTCTATCTATCTCTGTGGTATTTGGGGGCACTGAAACTTACATTACCAATGTGTAATTGGTAATTCAGAGTGAGACTGAATGTTGTCTTGTGGTCAGCAAGCTAAAGGGATGTTTTGATATTAAAATAAAGGATCAAAATTGGGAAGGGGTAGGGATGATGAGAACTTTTGTGATAAATGGATCTATTCCTTCATTTTCATAGCACTACTTGAAGATTTGCAGATTAATTTACTAGATTGAGACCTATAGAAATAAGTATTGTTCTTACATAAGAATTTGATGTAGTTATTGTTCTTAATAAGTAATGTTCTCACAGTTCTGTGGTAAACTGAATTTCTGATATGGATGTCACTTTCATATTATTACCAAACTATATTTACCACTGTAGTTTCTATAACATTGGCCTCTAAGATTACTTGCAAATCAGTGCCACACTGAAAGCAATAGACTGCAGGATGTGTAATACTACTAATAATGTGGATGCAGAGCACAGGCAGGACCTTCCGTAAGGTTGGGCAGTAAGCAGATGGGTCTTTTCCTACTCTTCTGGAATAGTGAGCTCGGTTGTGTATCTGAGGAAGGTTTTACCAGCCCTTTCCAGTAGGCTAAGACTCTCAGTACATTTGCAGGGAGAAAAGGATAGAGTGGTTGTTTAAACGACTGTTTAGCTGAGTAAAAGCTATCCACCGAATACAGGAAGTAATTTCTTAATCTGTCCCATTGTTCTTCCTTTCCACAATCAAGAGCCATGTGGCCCTGCTGTTGCTCTGAAATATGTTCATTTCTGGAATTTTATTTTCTGTAAGTCACTTAGTTCCCATGAGCTATTTATGATCCCACATTTGTCCTTGTACAAAGTTTAATAAGTAATCTCTCACAAACAAGTGCATCTTTGTGTTGGTATTGTACAGTGATCACAAAATGCCCTTAGGATTTTGGAAGTACAGAATCTCTGCTCATGCTGTTATTTATAAACTCATGTCTTTATCCATTAATCTTACCTGTAGGTGAAGAAGGCTTATCTTTGGAATGCAGTGTTGAACAATTTATCCTGTAGATTACTAACACTGACAGTTATAAAACTCAAGATCACACTGTCTTGCAGGCAGACAGTAGAACGTGTGACGTTGCAGAACCAACTCCAACAACTTTTAGAGGCCCAGCGATCAGAGGGCAAGTCTCTGCCCACATCCACAAGGTAACATGACTGGAATTTCACTGTAGCATGGATTTGCACAGTTATCATGAGAAGTTGTGATCTGTCTAAATAATAGATGAGTTCTGTCGAAGTGAATGTGCTTCTTTTACCCTGTGGGCTTGAAGCTGAGAATTTGAAAGTGTGTAATGTTATATAAATATTGGACATATTGATTATGGAATTAATAGTTTCAGTTTTTCCCCAGAGTTAAAATCAGATTTACAGTGGAATAGATTGTATCTTGTGTTAGATTAATAGCAGAGAATCCTAGAAGCCCCTACAAATGTAATACGAAAGTGTGACCTTGTGCTGGTTCACCATACCTACCAGCTGTTACTCGTAAAGACAGTTACCAGCAAAACATGCTGTCAGGGTAATAAGATCCTTAAGCTCATTAAATCTTTTGCCTGCAGTAGCTCTTATAAAAGGCCAAAACTCTAGAAATTTCACATATTATTTATTCTCTGTCCACGCAAGTCCCAGAAGTCGACACAGCCTTAAAGAGGAAGAAAGAGACCCTTCCAGCAGACACACAGCTTAGGGCCTCCTGATCTGTCTCTTAACTTCTGCCACAGATTTCCAATGTGGTGCATGGAAATCAAGTAAGCACACAGCCTCCCTCTCAAGATGACACTGAAAGGAATAAAATAATTCAGGTGCAAATAGGGCTCAGTTTACCATTACCTTCTAATTCAGTTTCCTCTGCAGAAGGTGCACACAGTGTTTTCCCTTGTTTCGTGGAGTCTCAAGGGAGTTAAATATGTGTTAAAAGTAGAAATCCAGCTTAATTAAAACTTCTTCCACTGACATTGGTGGCCTGAACTCTGGGATGTCATGTATGAACCTGCAGTAGTGGTGACTGTTTTCTGTTCGATCTTGCAGAATTTTATGCACTGCTTTGAACAAGTACATCATATCCCTGAAGTTCATCCGTCAGTATTTCAGACAAGTGCAAGTAGTTACAAAATAGGTAATAAAGACATTGGGATAGGCGGTGCACTTCTTTAAAGGAACTTTGGCTACAGAAGGGATTAAAAATCCAAATTCCTGCTGAAGCAGAAAACCACACTGGAAAGAGTCTTTTTGTCCTTTTTGTTAGTAATCATGGTCTTTGTACTTCATGTCTGCCAGCTCAGCAGGGACAAAGGGACCAAACGCTGTCTTCCAGCTCATTTGGTTTCTGTGATTTTTGCTGGCTGGACTTTCCATGTGGTCTTTCATCTGAGTACTTGTGAGCACCAGGACAGTTTCAGTATCAGATAAGAATAGGTGAGAGCAGAACTCTCATCATTCATTTTTTCTGTAAGACAGTAGGTTTCAACATGGCTGTAGTTAAGTAAGTGAGTTTGAAAATGGCAACCTATTATTTTGAATTTGTTTTCATGGATGGTTGCTACTTCTTCTTCTAATTAGAACTGACTTTGGGATATTGTCATCTTATAGACATTATAGGCAGATGTTAATCTATGAGAATCTAACAAACCTGTTGGCATTATTTATTTTATATACATGTAAATTCTATTTTGGTTTGCCCATTTTCCCACAAGGATAACTCAAAATGGACTGAAGGTGGATACTATATTCATGTGAATCTTGTACACAGTTTATGGACTTGGCAGGGAAGAAAAACAGAGAAGAGACAAAAAAAAAAAGGAAAAAGAGATTATTGATTCACTGCTTCACATCAACCTTAATTTTTCCACTTTACCGTTGTTTAAAGAAAAATTGGCTTAAAATAAGAATGTGGAGCATCAAAATCTGGTATATATCATGGGAAAAGAAATGGCCTGTGTAATTTCTATTTCTATTTCCATTTCCACTTCCTTACTATATATCATTTGCAGTGCTAAAATTAATTTATTGATCTAATAATACTGAAATAAATTAATGTCACTATTCACCTGCTTTTCTGTATTTCATGTCTGAAAAGGTTTGAGTGTAAACATACATGAATTTTTATGAAGTCTTATTTGGCTGCTGTCAGATGAAGCTTATATTTATGAAATCATTGCTGTACATAGAGCTGATACTTAGTGGTATTTAAAATCTTTATCTTATCTTTTAATCTTTATCTTCTGTAATGTGGGGTGACTTGAATAGTAGGCATTTGCCCTTTTGGCTTTTTTTTCACCTTCTAATCTATGTCAGTTCCCACAGAAAGGCGACAGTAGTTTTGCAAAAGTTTCTCTGATAAACAAGTCTTTGGCATTGACATTATTCTTTTTCTTTTAAGGTTTTTCCTTTGTAAAAGAAAGTGGAGAGACTTAAGTTCTAATTAGAAATGGAAGCAGGGTTACATCCTTTTCTCTGTAATCTTCATTCTAGCATCATAGTAATGAATTCCACGTGAGTAGTGAGAAAGAGGACAAGTAACAATAAGCTGAGACAGACTTGTAAACGGGAAATGACAGTTTTGCATTTTATATGTGCATTAATTTGGCCGTGGTATTTCCTCCTCTTTTTTTCTTTAAGCTCACCATCATCCCCTGCCTCTGGCAAACCCCAGTGGAAACCATCTGAAGCAGATGAATTGTCTCCACCGAAAAGTAAATTGAACGCCCAAGATGGGATTCAGATTCTTGGCAGCTTGGGAACTTCTAGTCGCACTCGAGCCAAGATGAAAGATGAGGACTCAGATAAAATCTTGCGCCAGTTGTTGGGAAAGGAAATCTCTGAAAATGTCTGTATGCAGGAAAAACTGACCTTGGAATTTCAGGATGCTCATGCATCCTCCAAGAACGTGAAGAAGATTTTGCCAGAGAAAAGGGAGCTGAAGTTAGCCAGACTGAGGCAGCTTATGCAGAGGTCTCTCAGTGAGTCTGACACAGACTCAGCTAATTCTGAGGATCATAAGAACACTCCTGTGAAAAGAACTGACAAACTAAGGCCTCAACCCATAGTGGAAAGTGTTGAGAGTACAGAGAGTTTGCACCTGATGATTAAGAAGCATACTTCAGCAGCAGGGCGCCGCTTCCCTTTTAGTACCAGAGCTTCTAAGTCAGTGGATGGCCACAGCCCTTCCCCTACTTCAGAGAGCAGCGATCCAGATAACGAGGCTCAGTATCAATCTGGTACTGTACCTCAGGGCCAGTTTTGTGGAGACAGCTCTCCTTCCAGCACAGACGGTGCTGCTGCTCAAAAGGTTGCCACAAGCCCTAAGAGTGCACTTAAGTCTCCATCTTCAAAACGCAGAACCTCGCAAAATTTGAAACTCAGAGTGACTTTCGAGGAGCCTGTGGTGCAGGTGGAGCTAGCTGAGGCAGAGCTAAATGAGGAAAAGGATAAAGAACGGGGCAAAGCACTTTCACGGGCTCCACCCACCACTGGAGAACCATCAGGGGACCAGCTAAAAAGGCCTTTTGGAACCTTTAGATCCATAATGGAGACACTGAGTGGTAACCAAAATAATAACAACAACTGTCAAACGGCAAATCTGATCAAAACCTCATCGACGCTGCCTTTTTCGTCGTTAGGAAGAAAGACAGCAGACAGCAAGGGAAACCCAGCAGCTCTGACAAAAGGAAGAAACAAGCCAGTGAGTGCACTGAAAGGAGCTTTTTTTTCCTTCTTTTTAAGTAATGAATGTTTGACAGCTTCTTCTTCCTACCTTTCTACAGCAAAAGGATATACACAAGTAATTTACTGTATTTGAGAAGTAGAAAATCAATCCACTGTTTTAATTTTAGAAGGCTTTTTTGAGGAGTAGCAGGCTTTGGTACACTACCAAAGTACATAGTCCATACTTTCAGTGCACGTGGTGCACATATTCTGTACTGAAAGCTCTCCACGCAGATATGATTCATCTGGAAATGATATTAGATGTTGCTCTGAGTGAGAGGTCATAAAAACAGAATGCCATGTTCGAATGCATGGGATTTTCTGCACAGTAAATACCTGAAGGACTAGACCAACCATGCTCTATGCACATAATGAAGCCCACAGGATGAAAATTAGTGGCAGAATGTAAAAACAGCAGAAGAGGTTCTCCCTGCTTCTATGCAAGCTACAGCCATCCCCTAATATCTAAGCTGTCGATACCCAACCTCCTCTGCAGCCTCCTCCCCGGAGCACAGGATCTTCCCTTAGCAGAGCATGTGGTTGGTCTGTAGCAAAATGGACTGATTCCCCTCTCTGCAGTGGGCAGTGTGCTTTTGGGGATCACAGCAGAATGAGGGATGTCTCCAGTTACAAGTCTAGCTCTTCTGCTCAAAATCAGGGAGAAAATAACTTGAATAAATGTATCTTCCGAGAGTTGGAGGTGGGAAAGACTGTGAGCACAGTGTGTTTGTAGAGCAGAGAGAAGTTCAGGTATCTGGAAATCTAATAAGGAAATGAGTGAAAGGCAATGGTAGATAATTTAATCCTCTCTGAAAGGCTGTGTGGAAGGGGGGTGGATGGAAAGACATGAGGCAAAAGAATAAGTTCAAGATGAAAAAAAAATAAAGAATGTAAGGCAGACTAGATGTAGGAAGAGGGATAGTGAATTATATACTGCAAAAAGTATGATGAGGTAATGGGAGAAAAACACAGGAAAATCTTAGGCACAGAGCAGACAACATGAATGTGGAAAAGATACATCTGAAACAGAGAACTGGAAAATAGTAACAAATCCATATTAATGTGTGTTACTAAAAGCACATGGTATCAGAATGTGAAGTGAATTGAAAATTTCAGAGGAGGTCTAATAGGCTAAATTGAAGTGGAAGTGTATTTATTAAAGTTCAGTTGGAGTCGTGGTATGAACTGCTAATTTGCATATCACTCAACTGAATTGCCATAGAAGTCTTTTCTTAACCCAGTGGCAATTTATTTTTCAAAAGGATGGTTCCAATTTTGTGGTGATAAACAATCTCCCTTCAAAGGCATTCTGATGGAGTGCAGTCTCATGAGTGTTTTTCATAGATCCCAAACAAGTTTAAAGAGTTGAGTAAGATAATTCTAACAACATTGTCACTTGCACTGCAAAATGCACATCACTTGTGAAAACTCTGCTTGTTTTTGTTGTTGTTATGAACATCAGAATTATAGAAGGAATATATTTTCATACCTACCTAAAAGACCACAGCATATACCTCCAAGAAGAAAAAGATTCAGCCTGATTTACTAACTTAAAAAGAAATCTGTTAAAATGCTGCCATGGCCATTTGACTGCATGTTTTGATAGATTTCCTAGTTATGCATGTGGGAAGCTCAATGCATGTTTCTGACTGATCTGATATTGTACTTCCTTAGGGGCCTTGCTTCAGCCACACCAATCTTTCCTCTAGCACACTGAATGAAGAACATCTGTGTAACTATGCTTGGTATGTGCATGGAGATATTTATCATCTCTGTTGTTTTGTCTTCTCAAATTGCATGTGTTTTCTAACTTCATAACTGAAATAATAGAATTGATTGATGCACAAGAAGGGAAATAAATAGATAAGTAGAACATCTCAATTCCTAGAAAAGCAGAAATTTATGAAGGATTTTTGCTGATGTCACCACTGAGCTGGAGATTTCATTTCCAAGCAGGCGTAAAAAATAGTCACGCTCATAAATCCACTAGAGAGTATAGCTTACTTTGGCTGAGTATTCAGCCTCTGTTGAATGAAGTGAAGTACCAGATGACATTGGAAACTAAATTTCCTCTCATAAGGTGAACAGAAACACCACAGTTCTTCTCTAAATTGAGAATATAGAGAACATGAGGCAGGATGCTGTATGGTAAGTCCAGTGCTCTCCTGCTTTTATAGATTTTTCTTACTCTCCCTCAGACTTTGAAGTTAAATCTGCTTTTGAAAAGTTTGATGACTTTGACTGCATTTAAACTCTTAAATGTATTCCATGAGGGCTAATCAGGCAGATGGAGACCAGTCCCTCAAAGTACATAAAGACATGTTGGAGAAAACATTTGACAAAATATACGTTTGTTTTACAAGCAAATTACTTTTAAAAATTAGCTCTCATCATTTATCAACTGTTCTAAATTAGTGAGATGATCATGGTTTTTTGTTAAGCTGAGACATAAATCCTTTCATTAGATCTGGAAATGACTGTATTTCTCTTCAAAATTATCCATTTGAAGAAACTTCTGAGAAAATTATAAGCTAATCATGCTGCAGTTCAGAAGCTTAAATTCCTCACAAGTTACTTTTTTTCTAAAAATCTAATAAATTTTTTTGTTCACTTTTTTTTTCCTACTGTCAGGAGCTTCCCATGTTTAAAAACTTAATTTCCGTAAAGCGAAGGAAGGGAAGTTCTGAAATCAGCAGCAAGATTTATGTGAATCCAGAAGCAGAACTGTAAAGTTTCCTAGAACTTTAATTGTACTGTGAAAACAAGGGAAATTCCAGCATAGAAAGCTGCCTGCAGAGCAGCAGTTTGAGGGAGTATCAGTGAACAGCCTCCAGTACCCACAGTGTGTCCAGGCTGTGTATGGCTGTCCATACACAGCCATAATCTTGTTCTTTTGTTGGAGCCATCCCATAGATTTCATCAGTTGCTGTAATTTGCTGTTGCTTTATGTAAACTCTTATGTGAGCAGGGTGGCAGTTCACCCAAGGCAATAAGAGAGAGTACAAATTGGCTGCAGGTGGGCCCCTACATGTTGCCATCCATGAGGCACTGTGATCCACCGTGCCATGGAGCTGCTCTGCTTCTCCATGCTCCCATGGCAATGGAGCGTATGGAAAATCAGAGTAGAAAACAAGGAGTGTGCAATTAGAACTCAGCTTCAAAGTGCAGTTATTGTACCCAGAGACTAGGACAGAAGTGGACAGATTGTGTGCCAGATTAAGTGGCATAAGATTTCTAAAGTCCATGTAAAAACCTTTTGCTCTTCCCATAAATCAGAATGCAGGCATGCAGCCTCTCAGAATTTCTAGGAAATTCTAGGAATTTCAGGAGTTCTAGGAAAAAGATGCTTATCTCTACATTTAATAAACTAGTTATGATTCAAACTAGTGCAATATAAAAATAATTTAAGTCTTGACCCACAGAATTTAAGGATGTTCTTTTCTGAGTTGCAAGTTTCTAAGTTTAAGACAAATATTTTGTACACAACCTTGCCATTTGGTCCAGGTTTTTTACCATCAGGATCTATCCTTTGCAACCACTATCCAGCTTGTCATGGTTGCATTGTAGGAGCTTTACTGCAGTAGTTTCTGAAAAGAAGACATAACTTCATTGAAAGTTGCCATGGGCTGGACAGTTGGTCCAAAATCCTTCATCTGAAAGGTTAATTGAAGAGAAGGAGAGTAGGCTGGGGTCTCGGGAGAAGGCAGTGTGAAAGGAACTGAAGAAACAGCGTTTAGTTTTCCTACCTTAACTAGAATAATATACACAGTTGTCTTGTACACAATTGATAGATTATAAAATTGTTTTAATTAAAGTTTACGTATGGTGGAAATAAAAATATACTGTAGATAAATAATTTTCTGTGTATGTAATAAAATTCATAATTGTTTCAACTAATATGTAATTATATTGTTAAATGTGATGTAGTCCCAGCATTAAAAAGAGGCATGTTTTCCCTACTTCTTGAAGCAGGCACATAAAGAAAGTCCAGCAAGCTACCTTCTGTAGATGAGTTCCTTCCATGTAGTGTAAGGAACAAACACAACACAGGTTCTGTTTGTTGTAGTGGATCCTTTTGCCTCTGTGTTGCTATTTCCTGAAAAATATAAGAGGTTTTAGGCTTTCTGTCCATTATTTCCAGAACATTTGGCAGCATACTAATTAGTGTTCTGACTTAAAAAGCTCCTCATCTTTCTATTGCTTTCCATCTTTGATTGCAGAATAGAAGCTACATGAAAGTCAGTAATAATCTGCAGTATTAAGAACTAATGTGTGTAGTACCTAGATCTAGTAGTCTAGATAAATAAGGTAAAAAAAAAAAAAAAAGTAGCAGAGAGTTCAATATTTGCAAATGAAATTAAATAGGGAAAACAAGCACAAGACAAATCCTTCTATATTGTTAGTGTCACTATGAGTAATTTTCTTCTTTTTTCTCTCCAGGCATGATAACATCAGTAGGAAAAGCCAGAAGTCTTACAGTCAAAAGAGTTCAGAAGAGACGGAGCCGCAGGAACTCTTCCTCTAAACCATATCTTGTGATGTCTCACTTTGTCTGAAATGCCTGAAATGAATCCCTTTGAAACACTGATATGAGACATATCCCTCACCAGCAAAACAGCAACTGTTAGGATGCCTTAATTCGTAGCAGTTAGACCATATTCAAAACTTTTTTTATGATATATGTGTATATGTAACTTGTTTGTAAACTGTACTATGTAAAGGCATGGGTGAGCAAAAGCAACAATTTGAGAATTGCTGTGACACAGGCAACCTCCAAAATGTTGGGCCACAAAACACATTTTGTACTTTGTCTCTTGCATGGATATGTTGTCATATATCTTTTGTTCCCTTTGTCAATGAAATATGCTGTCAAAGTTTCAGTCAGGACTCTGCCTGCTCAGCTCTTCAATGAGACAGAGGCAAAAGCATTGATTCAAGTAAGTTTTGTTTGGTTTTATTTCTACTTTTTGTAAAAAAGGAAATAAAGACACTGTTAAATAGAAACGCTGAGTTTAAATATTTCTCATACTTCACTCTTTTAAGCTTCAGGTATTGTTTTTTCCAGATACATTTGATAGCGAGGCAATATCCAGCATCAGAATTTTAGTACAGGCATTCATCTGAATGTTTATTTAGTAGTCCCCTTTCAGACTTAAAATATGTAGAAAAAGCAATTTTAATTGCTTTTAAAAAATGCATAAATGCAATTTTAAATTACTGTTTATTGTTACTTGCCAAACACTGGCTATATGCTTGGCTCACCAAATGACCATGACCATGCTCCTTCAAAGCTGTCACGATCCTTTTATTGAATTCACTTGGAAACTTTTGGAGAAAGTAAATATTCAACATCTTATTGAATTCATTTTGTTTCTTGTAAATTATCAGTACATCCTGTGGGTGTGTCAAATGCAGCACAACATCAAAAACAGGCTAGGAAGCAGCCTTCAGCTGAAGCATTAATATATACCATTTGCTTTATTATGATTATATTGAGCCATTTGAAGACTGGTGTGGTTTGACGAGGAAGATCTACATACATGAAAATTTATTTTCGTGGCTGGGAAGTCAAAGGAAGTCTGCCAAATAAAGTTTTCTCACAAAAAAAAAGATGTACCAGATGTACCACAGAGCTGAAATAATGCCAATTAAATTCCTGCAATTACATAGCTATTAGGTAAATAATATAGACAGCCAGGAGGATTTTGATGAAGTACAACAGAGTTACTTCTTTGCAGTTTCTTATGCCTGTTTTTCACTGTGCTTTTAACTTTAGGTTTCCTTTCTAGTTGATGAGGATACATAGGGGCTTCCCGAGTGTGATTCATCCCGCCTATTTTAGATACCTCATTTATAGGTTTGCCTGTCCTGTCCTTCTTACTGCAGGGGAATTGGAGTTAGCAGAGCTATTGGAAGAGTTACTTAGTGGTTGGATACCTGTAGTTAAATGATAGGCAGGTCTCTCTTTGGTCACTCTTTGGAGTGATGTCACGTTTGGCAATACAGTTACCATACACTAAGATGACCGAATGCCCCAAACACATTACTTACAGCTTTTGGACAAGCACAGACTACTACTGGACAGAATGGAGCCAACTGAGAGATCAGGAAAAAAATACAGCTTGAAATAACAAGAGCATCCCCTTACAAAAATGAAATTCTGAGTTTCTTTCCACAGTTCTTATCTGTGACTTGGCAGCGCTTTGGTTTTTGAGCTAAAGTAATAAACCTAGCACTCTAGCTGACCTGAACTGTGTTGTTTAAAAAAATAACCAAACCTCCAAAAATATCTGTCAGCCAGGAACAGCAGTGCCTATAACCAGGCCTCCCATCATCTCTGTGTGTATAAGAAATCTATATGCAGTGAGAAGAGACGTGCTGCAATTGCCTTTGTGCTAAAAGAGAGGGAAAGAAATTCTATATCTGGTGGATGAGCTCAGGACAGGTTGGTAATCTGTGCTTTTGAGAATGTGATGAGCATTGACTGTGGTAATGCAATAGCAGAAGTGTGGGTTAAATGACAATTTCTGAAGGAGAAATATGCAACTTGAAAAAGCAAATATACCACATGTGCGAAAGGTTTTATAAGCTTTATCAATTGCCTTTAAATGAATCACCTGAATCTTTTTGTCTTGTGTGACAGCAGTGGGCAAAGGCTTCAAGGACAGATTTCAATCCTAAAGAACTGTGCTGAATAAAATGTAAAAGCATGTTTAGTGATCTTGAGCCACTGGAGATCAGTAAAGGCCACTGTAGCTATTTAATGTCTAGTTGTAGCAGGGAATAAATCTGAACTGTGAATGGATTTCAAATAAAGTGTAAATACCATCAGTGGTGTCAAATCCTGGAAGAAAGAACTGGCTGGATGTGACCAGTGGGAATTTAAGATTCACCTACACTGCTGGGCTTCTTTCTATGGAGGGTACTCATACGCAGCAGGCAGTGAATTAAGTTACACTGGTATTGTAGGACAACAGGAGATTACTAAATGAGATAGGATCAAGGTGCCAAAAGACCTGAGGATTCCTGTTAGCAATTTCTGTTAATAACCACTGCTGAGTCCCAGATAGCTCAGGACAGCTGGAAGGGCCTGGGAGTTTGGAGTGAGAGCTACACTCACTGCTTTCCTTCCTCCCCACTGCTCTGAGCACACTGGGCTGCAAAGCTGTTGCTGACTTGATGCAGGCATGAAAAACAGTGCCTTTAATGTATTATCCCAGGAGAAGCTGAACTCATGTATAAACTGCTCTTTTTACTGTTCCTAATTTGTAGATTTTTTCCTACCTAAGGCCTCAAAGCCTACACATGGTACGCTGTGATGTCCCCTATCAGAGAAATGCTGATTCTGTGATCTTCAGCAGGCTGAAGTGTGTGCCTTTTGTATTTGTATCCTTAGCAGCTATAGAATCCCGGTGCCATAGCTCCTGTTACGTCTATAGACCTCCAGGCAGATCCCCTTAGCATGAGTCGAAGTCAAGCTTCTGGCAACAGAGCATATGCATTTCTAGAGTTGATCAGGGGTTTTTCAGCAAACATCTTCGGAAAATATCGGTTCACCATAGCTTTCAACAGCAGCACAAGGCCTATTTGATTACATTCCTTGTTAAAAGTGCTCTCCCCTGCCCCCTGGGAAATTTCTGGTCAAAAGGAGACAGTGAAGTAATTTGCAAGTGACCACTGTGCATCACAGTAATGCTGTATCTGTGGGCAGCAGGGGCTGGTTTTCATGTTCACTTACCCACAGCGATTGCAGGATAAGACCTCTGTGTGTAAGTCCTGTACGTTTGTATCAAAGATGATGAATAGGGCATATTATAGAATCATAGAATTATAGAATCGCTCAAGTTGGAAAAGACCTTGAAGATCGAGTCCGACCACAACCTAACCATGCTACCCTAACAACCCTCCGCTAAATCACGTCCCTGAGCAAGTGAGAGCAGTATATGAGAGCAGTAGTGAATTTCAGTTTCACACTGCACAGCTCAATGATTCTGGAGAATGAAGTCATTATCCAAAATGAATGAGAGTAATCTGGTAAGAGCCTTGTTTTAGTGATAAGCCAATATTGGTTTGTTTGTTGCATGTGTTTGGGATGGACAGCATCTGGATACACATAGTATGACAACTGCAAGCACGGCACTTTATTTCATCAGTGGAGCACTGGACTGTGTTTTGTTCTGCATTACTGAAGTAGCGTTTTAATAATACCTCATTTGCCCTTTAGTCTTCAGGAGCAAATGCACCAGTGTACTAGATTGCAGATAAATAAAATAACTACACATAACATAGCTGGTATATGGACAAGGTAGAGACAAGGTAGGAAAGATTAGATTTAGTGAATGAATGAAACAATCATTCAGAAATCATGTAACATCAGGCTGACAGAAGATTAATGGCATAACAAAATGTAAATGACAGAGGGAACAAACAAACAAAAAAACCACCTCCCAAATCCTCTTACTTATAACAAAATGGTAACTGTCTCAAATTCTACTGTCAGAGAGGTAATTCACTGGATGTTTTATCACCTGCTAGTACAGCAATGCCAAAATATATCCTGTGCCAGGCAGGAATTACAGATTGTGGTGGGACAACTTCTGTTTGCTGGTAGAGTAGGATTCAGTTCATGGTACCTCAGAAATTCTTTTTTACCTTTTAAAAGCCTACTTGGTGAAAATTGGGCAGAAAGGACTATGAAAAATGTAGTCTCTGCATTTGTAGCATCAAAGTGTCAGGCTTAATTGTCTGTCATGAAGTGGTTCCTCAATGATATTTTCTCAAATTATGGGACATTTCCTATTGAAACATCAGAAATATCTTTCTAACTGTATGTCAGCCTAAGTATACCCTCTTACATACCTAGCTTTTGTATAATCCTGCTTTTCATTTCATAAGTGTGTTTTGGGGTACAAAGACTAAGTCTTAAGTGAGTAGGTAGCTGTGCATGAGAAATAACACAAATAGCACATGCCCTCTGACCAAAATGTCTGTCAAACATAAAAATTTATTGAGTATAAATTGCAAAAATAAAAAAAGACCCAGCATTGGCTGACCTACAGTTCATCCTTTGCCTCTGTACAGTATCACTGTCATATCACTTTCTTGCATACACCGAACATATTTGCCTTCCTTTACCCATTATTTCTTCATTATATTGATCATTAAGTGCATCTTTGACCCAGGTATCAGAGACTGCAGGACAAATAGCACAGGTTCTTAATGTGCCACATAACCTCTTCCAATTAAAAATAATGTATGATACATATGCAGCATCCTCCATCTATCTCCCTTCCATACATTTGATAATGCATTTCCAGCTTCCCAGATACCACAGCTTTTGTAGCTTGTGCTCTTTTTGTGTAACATATATGGACTGCTATAAATACCAGCTCAAGACATCTGTTTCCTGAGCAGAATGTTGCTCTTTGTCTTTGACATCTGTGCAGCAACTTCCTTTCCCACTCTAATTACTAGGTGTTTTGGTAATATGCTTACCACCAAGCAGCATGCAGCAGGAAGGAAAAGATTTATTCTGGGTATATTTGGGAAGCAGATAAGAAATCCAGAGGCCATTAGAACACTGAGCTAGCTTTTAAATAACTCTGGTCAGTCAGTAATACTGCTCCAAGAAAAGATAAAATAAAATCACATGGGTCTGAAAGGGAAGAAAAGAGGCCTGAATATACAGGTATGAATACAACCTTACATGTAGATGCATACAAATTGCTGTTAAAACTCAAAAACCTGCAGAGTAGGAGCCACATCATGTGTCTGGCAATGCAGAAAACTGTGACTGTACCGTGCTTATGTGTCTGTGCATGCATACAAAGAGATTAGACAGCTACTTCAAAGTACTATGAGTAGATTTTACTTCTAAGCTGTGGGTACAGACAGCAAACTTCGAGCGATATATTTAACACAAAACTGCACATGTTAAAACATAAGGAAATAATGATAATGAGTTATTTACTGGAGGAAATAAACTAACATAGATAACTTCCTTT